CGTCAGCGGATTTTGTCAGTGTTTCGAGGGTAGTTCAATCAACTGCTAATCATTGAATGTTTTATAATCTATAAAATTCTCGTCAAATAATATAATAAGCCTTTCTTTTAACTTTGAATATAAGGGGGAAAATTTATTGTTGAATTTCAATTTTGGTAGATTATTTAATGCTAAATAATTATTTTGTCAAGTAATTTTAATTTCGAGATAAAATTTAACTAATGTTTTAAATAGCTCATTATCCCAGCCACCTCTCAAATTTTTTTTATAAAGATAAAAAAAAATAAGGGCCTATCATTTAGACATAATTTTTAAATTAACATTATTTTATAACTATTCATAAAATTAAAATATGATGATATTAATGTTAAATTTGTTCAATTTTAGCCATATAAAGAGTGATAACTCCTAAACCCATGTTCATCCCAGTCTAGTATTTTGAACAAATATAAAGCAGTGTGATATCTATCTATAAAAAAAAAATTTGAAAAAAATACCGTTTTTTTCTATGGCCATTTCCGGTTTTACACATCCGGTTTTCGATATTAATAAAATGTCCATCATATTTATTTTTATCTCATTTTAAAGAACTTTTATTAAGCTACAAAATAAAATTTAAATTATTTTTCTAACTTAATTATTTCTCGAGATATTTGAAAATAAATGAGGTGCATTTTGTCAAAAATGTACCATTTTTCCGTGCTTTAAACGGCCATATCTTGTAAACAGTGTTGGAAGATAAAATTTCATTTTTTTCTTAGTTATAGTATATACTACCAGTATACAAAATTTAAGAAAAATTGAAGGGGGTCGGGTTGAAAATCGACTTTATTTTTGTTGATTTGATATAGAATTCACCATATATGTAAAAATATTAAAACTTATATATAAAAAAAAATATATAAATATTAATTAAATATTATGTCCGAGTTATCAATAACAAGCAAATTCTGATATTACAATCCACCTCAAGGAATTTGCCATTTTTAATTGCAATGGAATTGGTATTTTATTCTATTATAGTAATTTTTAAAATTAATATGATGACGAAAATGACGACATTCTTCCATGACCAATTTGACCATATTTTAAAATAATATCTCAAAATAAAGAAAACAAATCTCTGTTAGTAAAATGTTTGCTATGTCTACCAAAAAATATGCAAATTTTAGTTAGCATTACCTCAACTTGCTACATTGTAAAACATTTAAGGGTATAGATACTAAATAAATGTTTACAATTTTAATTTTAAATTTTAAGAGAAAACATCAAACACTCCTAATCCAAATAAAAAAGGGGAAGGAGAAAAAATCTACTAAAGAAAATATTGGACTAGGCTCATCGTCCATGATTTTTTTTCCAAGAGACCTCAGACTTTAACCCAAACCACTTTAGATGATTTAATAACTGATTTTATTATAGATAGCATTCAGGCATTTTCAATTGTTGAAAATCCTTCATTTATAAAAATGATCAAAACATTAGCTCCACAAAAAAATATAATTTGCCGACAGACAGTGGTTGTTACTGAAATCTAATAATTCTTTATAATCATTTAATCATATGTTATATTATTTTATTAATGATATATAATAATTATTTATATTAATCATATATTATATTAATATCTAAAAATCATTATTTTAGTTATATTTTGATAAATATGATATCGAGACAATAAATTTTTTAGATCATTTCATGAATTTTCACAATAGAATCCTAATTTAGGTTTATTCAAACCTTATCTAAGAGTATAATAAAAAGTGTATCTGTACATATATACATTTTAAATTGTATCTGTATCAAGATAACTTTTTAGAAGCTGTATCTAGATAAATTTTTGGATGATGTATCTAGATCCATTTAAAAAGTATCTTTTAACAACTCTGAAAAATACCGATAAACATTGATGTCTTGTTTGAGGAGATTCAAATTATTTTCTTTTATATATAATATAAATAAAGTAACTCCACGACAAGGGTTGCGAACCCGGGCTTTAAGGTTAAAAAAATAGGTAGGTTCGGTTCGAGTTAGGTTAAGGGAAATATTTTTGAACCCGAGTTTGGTTCCGGGTTCAGCTCGGGTTTAAGATTTTTGAACTGATAAAAAAATATTCTATATTTAAATCAAAATTAAAAAACTAGACATAAAGTTTTTATTTTATTTATAGGGAAAATATAGTTAAAAATACAAAGTATAGTCATGTAAAGATTTAAAAAATTTTATTTAGACGTATTTCTTATATCCAATATAATAATTTTTACGTTGACTTGTTCACTTTAATTTTCCTCTAATTAATAATCTTTGAGAATAAGTTAAAAATGGAGTAAATGAATTAAGTTGTTTAAAATTTATTAACACTTCACTTAAATAGAAATTTGAAAATATTATATAATGTCATGTAAATTATTAATATTTGTATTTAGAATTATACAAATATCTTATAATTTAAACACTACACTGAACCCACTTGATCCCGGGTTCAAATAAAATTCTCGGGTTTGGTTCGGGGTTTTGAAAATTTTATAAATGGGGTTCAGGTTCGGTTTGGGTTCAAATTTTTTCCCCAAAAACCTGGGTTTTCTTCTCCGTGGGTTCGAACCCCTGTCCACGACAAGAAAGTTAATTTGAAAAATATTACCTTTTCTGATATTATAAAACGTTATTATAAGAAATAATAGGCAGATAACTAAAATAATTCACAATCTAGGCGGAAGGCCGGTATAACCGCTAATTTTTTTTTTAGCAATTTTAATATTTCACCCGCAAAATACCAATTTTGACCTGGCAACCCTGGTTGGGGATATTCAGCTACCTCGGGAATTGTAGGAGCCACGCAAACCTTTAGGAGTCGTTGGCCTCCAATTATACCGCGCAGTATATAGAAATAAGAATCAATTTAATTTAAATCGCAAATTAAATCAAATAATTTACGATTTTTATATTTAAAAAAGTTAATGGGTTTAATTATATATATTCTAAAGAGAATCAAATCTATTATAATTTTTTAAAACTTCACCAATTTTTATGTTTAAAAATTGTAATTAAATGGGAAAACTGTAGAGGTAATAAATTTTTTAATGGATTCGATTTTCTATTTTGAAATAAATTAACATAAAAATTGATTTAAATCAATAATTTATAAACTAAATTGATTTAATTCGCGATTAAAGTCAAATAGCTTTTTATTTCCATACTCTATGGGGTGGTATTTGTTTAATAACTGGAAACAGACGACGCCACTAATCGGCAAGATAGGCGTGCTGAAGAATGTCAATAATTTCAAACCCACCGCAATCAAAGATATCTGCGTGCAGATCTTAATTATATAGATAAATTTAAAATTTTACAAGGAGAGCAAATCTTAAATCTATGAGGGTGTCATATTAGCTATAAATATTTTCTAATATATTAAATGCTTTTATTTATATAAAATAGAACTGCTCATTTGAGAAAGAGGCGAAATCCCTAATCAAACTAATTAGCCATAAAACAACAATCTCAAGGGCTCTTTTGATTAAACAAAAAATCAGTGTCGAAATATTACATTATAATTTTAAATTATTTAAAGATACATGACCGTCATCAGAGGATGATGACTATTTTTAACAAAATTTTATATTTTTTTTCTAAATATGTTATCATATATGCAGTTCACATATTATTCTAATTACTTTATATAATTTGATTATTAAATTAATAAAAATTGTCAAGATTCACTATTTTTAAACAAATATTAATTAATTTTTCTGATCGATAACTTTTCGGTCCTACCTTTTCAATTTTGATAAAATTTTGCATACTGAGAGAACATCATTAGAAAATAGAATATAAAATATTAGCTAAAAAGTACTAATAGTTTTTAAGATATCATTGGCCAAAAATATTTTTGAAAATTGCGATAAATTAAAAAATAATACTAAAAATTATATGTCATTTTGCAACTCTATTAAAAGCCTTAAATATAAAGGATTTATATAAAATAATAATCTTACGGTTTTTATGTAAGTTATAAATTTTAATCCTGAAAGCTCCAGGTGTTTGGCTTTCCGAATTTCTTCAAATTTAATATTTTATTATTCACTTATATCTATATGTAAAAAAAATTAAACTTGGGACAGCCATGAGTTATTTAGTTATTATGATTTTTTAATAAAATAATTTTTTTTTAAATAATAGATAGCGCTCCTATATAAAATAACGCATTTTTGTTAAAACTATTTTTTTAAAAAATTTTATTCTTTTTTAAAAATAAATAATAAGATTTTCCAACACTATTTAGAAAGAAAGAAAGTCGCATGTAAAAATTATTGTTTTATAACAAATGATTAAATTTCCTAAATTTCTATTATCTTCTACTGGAAACATCATAATTAATTGTTGAAAGATAAAAGTCAGTTCTCATGCACCTGCCTGCTATTAATTAATTTTAATTTTACAAATATTTCGAAGAAATAATATAAGTGAATAATAAAATATTAAATTCAAAGAAATTTGGAAATCGAAACACCTGGAGTTTTAAGGTTCAAAGTTTAACTTAATAAAAACAGCAAGATTATTTTTTTTAAAAAATCTTTATTATTAATAAAAGGCTTTTAATATGTTACAAAGTGACATATATTAAAGGTTTTTAGTACCATTATTTTAAACTTATAGCTATTTTTAAAAATCGTATTTTAGGTATTTTTGGCTATAAATATCTCAGAAACTATTAGTACTTGGAGGCTAAAATCTTGGAGTCGATGCTTTCTAACGATGTTCTCTCTGTAGAAAAATTTTATTAAAATTAAAAAGGTCGGGCCGAAAACTTATCGATTTGGTATGGAATTACCCCTCTATCTTACTAAAAAAATACATAAATAAAAAAATTAATATAAGAAGAGGATTTTGAAAGTCAATCAATGCGGTTCTACTAAAATTATATTAAAAAAAAATTATGTTATAAAGTATCATTATTCCTTAATTTTCTAAATTTAAAAATCTAAAATAATTATTGAAACTTAAATGTCTGAAAGTAGTGGATGTAGAATTGCAGGCATTGTACCAGTCGGGGACCCTTCAAAACTTCTGGTAAAGGCTCGATGTTGGCTAGAACCCGTCTCAAGCACTTTATCATATAATAAAACAAAACGGTTATATTTAACAGTGGTTAAGTAGCACCCTGGACTGGAAAAATAATTTTCCATCCTGGCAGGATAACTTGATAATTTTTTTTAAAAGCTTAGAGTTAGACAATCATGTCTTTTTCTAATAAAAAATTCATTAAAGACTGGGTCGGAAAACTTGGGCGGGAATTCGGCCTGCCCGGGCAAAAACTTTTTTAAGGGCAGGCGGGCGGGTTAAAAAAAATTAAATCATTTAAGTAAATATTAATAATAAATTGTTCTTATGAACTTTTTTGGATATTACAAATTAAAATGTCCTTTTTTGGTATCATAAAAACTATTTTCTTAAAATAAATAAACTTTTACGTATATTTAAAACAACTTTGGTGGAAACGACAAGAAAGAGATTTGCCAAAACTACCAAGATTAGCAAGAAAAATATTGGCAATTCCTGCAACTAGTGATTCTTCTGAACGAGGATTTAGCATTGCTGGAAGGTTTTTAGAACAAAGAAGAACGTGTTTGAATCCAGAAAATATCGATTCATTATTATTTTTGCATTATTAATTACATATAGTATCGATTTTTTATTTATATTATTTTCATAAATATTTTATTTGATCAAATAAATTATCCATAATTTTAATTGAATATTTTTTATGCTTAATATAGTAATTTCCTAAAAAAAATTGTAGAGGTGTAATGATGAAATTTTTTTTTATTAGATGCTTAAAAAATTTAAAGAATGTACATAATTAGATTTTATAATAGCGGGCTTGGGTTAAATTTTTTTTATAAACAATGAGTGGGCGAATAAAAAATTTTAGAGTAATGAGCGGGCTGGTATTTTTTGAAAACAATGGGCAGGCTGTGTGGGTGGGTTAAATATTTTTAAAACATTGAGTGGGCGGGCTTATGATCCAAAAAACCCCCCAATGCAGACCTCTGTTCAGATATTTATAATGATTTAACTCTTTATTCCGATTAACTTCGGGTCCCTGATAAAAATACAAGGATATGATTGAGGAATCTTCTTCATACTTTTTACTGCATGACATAAGTATTTATGTTGAAAATGTTACAATCGCTTAACATTTAGTTAAAATGGACGTTAGCAATAACAATAGCATTCACATAAAAATATTCATTTCACAATTCGTAAAACATTTCCAAGTTTTTATTTATCCATTACATTCTTTTTATTTTATAAGAAACCATCCCATTTGATATTTGGACCATATATCTTGTCTTCTAGTGAAGATATTCGTCACGATGACCCCCTGGGCTCCATATTATTCTGTAGAATTCATGATTTGATAACTAAAATCAAAAATGATTATTCGTTGCTCCCTGCACCTATGGTATATTCATGACGGGGTCATATATGACAATTCTTTAGAAGTAGAAAAGTGAATTAATATTACGAAGGATTCTGCCAACAATCTCGGCTTTGTAATTAACCAAAGTGAATGAAAATATCGCGAAATTAATGATTCCATATAACACTCTTGATTTTAAGCATACCTCGTTCCTTTACTCACTGCGAATAAGCCAAGTAGAGAAATTGCAAATCTATTCTTAGTAACTACTTAAACATCAAATTCCCAAGCTACTTTCCAAACATGGCGGTCTTGTTTAAGATCCCACTGTCGATCTTGCGTTTTCATCGCTAGCCACCTATAAACACAGACAATAAACCACCATGTTAAATATAACTAGGACGGAATATTCAAGATCTGTTGCAATTACAACCGAATTTCCGATTTCTATAAAACATAAAAATTGAAATCTTACTACTCATAAAAAACTCCGTTAATTACCTTATTTTGAGTCTTTCACCTATGGCTATATCCACATTCAATGAACTTATCAAAGAGGGAGATTTTTTAGAAGTTATTTTATCTAAATCTAAAACTTGAATTGAATAACTACGAAATCAGCTTGCCCTATCTAGAGGCTCAACATCCCATCCTCCTTACCATATTTCTTACCGATAATGACAGTATGGCGCTGCATTTTTACCTGTAATCGCAATCCTGGTCGGCAAACCCAACTAAAGAATAGTAATAGCCATTCTAAAATGTTTGTTTTATTAATTCAATTTCTCCAGATAATTAGTATTTTTCCTTATAAAAAAATATTACTTTTTCTTTTTTCTCCCCACCCCCTTTCCTTCATATTAATATAGAGTCATTTATCGCTATAACAACTTTGATATATTAATTTGCTTTGCTATTAAGGTTCATATTTTTATTGTTTGAATTATATTTTAAAAATAACGATCCAATAGAAGGAGGGTTAGGATTCCTTACTTCCGAAATTTCTTGGCATTAAACGCAGTCATTTTAATTCTAAAATAAAATTTTCCTTTAAAAATGGCCAATATTTTTATAGCAAGAAGACAATATTATTAGCAATCATTAATTAATCATAGTCATGTTAATCCGTTATTTTCAAAGATCAATTTTCATAGAAAATGGCAGCCAATGTTTTTGAAGTGGAAATTAATAATATTAACGATTGCAGTCGACAATAATTATTTTCAAATATCGATCAAATAAGTGGTCACAAATGTTCTAGCTATAAAATATATGTTTAAATATTCAATATTGTTCAATTGGAGCGCTTAGTTAATAATTATTATGGAATTAATTATGTTAAAAACATGTTTTAAAGAGAGCAGAGAATGCGATCATGGTATCATATTTTATAAATAAATCTTATAAGACAATATTTCGTCAAGTTCATTTATTTATAAGCTAATATTTACCTTGTGCAATGGGGTTTGCTTTTAATGAGTAGATAAGTAATTTTTAATAATATATGATGCTTGTTCAATTCATCCAACTTTAGCTAAACTTATATTTATTTTGATCTATATTAATTTTGGATTTAATCATATAAGCAAAAAGAATCGTCAGGAAGCAAATACTTAACAAGAATCAATTAAGGAAATTATTATTCGATTATTTTCCCTATTCCTAAATCACAATAGTAGCAATTTCATTATCGGAGAATACATGAATTAAGTTCTGAGATGTGAAGCCATTAAATTCGACAACCTACCTATGATGCTGAATAATGTTTTATGTCCTGTTGTTATGAGCTTTGACCCTTTTTTATGATTAAACGATAAATAACTTTATAAAAATTTATTATCAAAAAATGGTCTAAATTGCAAGTTTTGAATAGTCTGTGTTTTGATAAATTAGTAAAATTTTTAATATAACATATTACCTATTAAGAATTATTAACTTTTCAAAAGTAACCTTTTACAGTTTTAAATATTTGCAAGATTTAAAAATATTTAACGAGACACATTCATCCTTAAATGGTCTCTTTTAAATGAGATTATTAATCTTGGGGAATATAAAAAATAAAGTTATACTTAATCTTTCGTGATAAAGCATCAAATATCGCATTAGACATGAGAAACAAAAATTTGAAGTGTTTCTTGTTTTGCCCATTAGCATGGTTTTTTACAAATAAAACATATTGATTTTTCATGACATTGGTTCAAAGGTAGATAGATGGTAAATAAAAGTTAATATAAATATCGGATCGGTTTTGTATGAATATCAGATCAGATTGATGAAAATTTTGTTTTCGTTTTGGTCATATTAAAATTTAACGTTTTATTAGTTAAATATCAAAACATCCTTCGTAATCAAGTATTAAAATTTGTTTGAATACTGTGCATTGGTCAAACGTAAACCTGTGCGCCGAAGCCTCAATTGACGGCGGCGGTTTTTTAAATTTTGTTATCGGCGTTCGGCGGCGCTACGATTTCCCCGCCGCTAAGGCGTGCTATTTATTTAAAATTTTTTAAATGAATTTAATTTATAATTTTAATGTATTACATTTTCTAAGTATACAATCTTCCTAGCTAAATTAGCAAGCCTAGGAAGTTCCAATCTCTTTTTCCCAAAAAGTTAATGCATCATCTTCTGGTATAATATGTTGGCTGAGCAAAATATGGCATTCTTGCTTTATATTGTCATGACCGAACTATTTTAGCTATATATGAATTGAATGCGGCCATAATCTACAACTTGAATCTCTCTGTGCATTTCCATCATGCTCTAAAAGTTTTAAATGTCTAATAAAAGTTGCAATGATGTCTAGAATTCGAATTTGCATATTCTGAAACAATTTTAAGATTTCAAAATCTCGAATCAAGTATTATCGCTAATACCGATGTTTATCTATAATATATATAAAGGCTGTCACAAAAATCATGTCACACTTTATGATATATATTCAAAAAATCGTTTATTTTGAAAAGTGCCTATGGCCCAATCGGGCATGACTTCGCTTACAAATCTTGATGGATTATTGGACTTGGGTTCGAACCTCGGTAAATGTTTTTTTTTCTTAATCTGGTAAAATATTTTTTTTTCTTAATCTGACAAAATTAATCAAATAGATACGATTCAAAGTTTATAGCTACTTTAAAATTCAAGCTATTTTCCTGCACAAGATAATTAAATACATTTAGAACTTTATATGCATCAAGTACCAATTCAAATATGAGATTTATTTAAATACTTTTTTAATTCTTGAATTTATGTATAATTTTAAATTTAAACCATTATTTCTCTTTTATATGAAGGACGAATCAGAAATTTTCCTATCTTATGAGGTGTTGTTTAAAAATTTATATTTATTTGGGGTTATTCTAAAATTTTCCATTATTTTTATAAAATATGTTAATAAAGTATATATTTAGTAATTTTAATTTCATAATCTAAAAATTTATCATTGCTTGATGAGAGTTTTATGTTAAAACCCTTAAGAAGGATCCATTCCACATTGAATTTTATACAACTTTATATCTCTTAATTAGGTAATTTTTATGCATAAGTAAATATTTGCATCTCTCTTATCTTTTCTGAAATTGGCCTTTCTACATGCATTCCATAGTTTTGTATATTTTCTCATAACTTCATAATTAATTGTAGAATGTATATTTTTCATAACTTATTATAACATTTTTGATTAAATGTATAACTTTTTTGTTTTTCTTATATATAATTTGACTATGATTTAAGTTAACCTCCTATTATTTGTTAACTTAGAATATCTTTTTATTTTTTCTATTGTAATTTAATAACAATGTCTTAAATTTAAATTTATATTTTGTAACTAAGTAATAAATCATTTGGAAGGGTGGTGGTTTGTTTAAAATTTAAATTAAGATGAACATACTTTTAGCATGGTACTTTAATATGTATTCATGATTTTCATATAAATACTAGGAGCTAACCAGTAGAATGATAGGTAAATCAGATATTTGCCCTTCATTTGATCCTAATTTTGAAAAATTTTTCCAATAATATAAATGGCAAAAAAAAATTTACATATTAGACAGATTTAATTCTTATAAACCCCTACATCGCACTATTTTTCTCCAAGGAAGAAATAAATTATTCTGAGTTTTGTTGGGTTTGGGAAATATTTTTCACAATTAATATGGGCTTGGAAGAAGCTTGGGAAACATTTTTTAAAATTAATATAGTCTTAGATTCTTGAAATTTTTTAATTTTAAATATGGGTTAGAAATTGGCCTGAAAATTTCTTTTGGAGGCCAGGCCTGATCAAAAACCAAGGCCCATGCAACTTTCATATTCTGATTGTATTTTTAAATGCATTGTGACTTTTTATATATTTTATTTCAGTTCTCAACTATCAAAATTATTATGGTCTTTTTGAGAAAATTTTTCCAAGTGCGAGGATCTGGCTTGTGAATTTTTTTAATATTAGGCATAGGTGTAATATTTAACACAGAATATTTATAGTAAAAGCTAATTTAAATATATTTTTATTCAAAAATAGTATTCATTCTTAGTCTTAATGGGTTGGCCTTTGTCTGAAGTAGGGGTATAAAAAATAGATATGGTTTTTAGAGATTTACCTATTTCCCAGGTTAAGAAAAAATTTTGAAAATTACTATGGGTTGGCCAGGCTTGGAAAAATTTTTTTTATAAAATTTTTATAGGTTGGTCTGGGTTTGAAAAATATTTTTATAAATTATATTAGGCTGGGCTTGGGGAAAATTTTTCAAAAAATATTATGAGCTAGAATGCTTGAGAATTTTTTTATTAATAACTATGAGTCAGACATTGGCCTAAAAAAAATTTTATGCAGGCCTGGGCTCGGCCTGATCAAAAAACCTAGGCCCATGAAAATCTGATTTTGATTGTATTTTTAACATTATGATTATTTAAATATTTTATTTCAGTTCTCAACTACCAAAATTATTATATTCACTGGGCTTGGAAGAATTTTTCAAAATTATTATGGCTTTGTACTTTGCCTGGGAATTTTTTTAATATTAAATATTAGGTGTAAATGATCAGTAATATTTATCAAATAATATTGGTATTATCAAGTAAAAGCTTTAAATTTAATTTTACCAAACCATCGTATTTACACTTGGTTTTAATGGATTAAACCTGGCATGAAGGGGGGGGGGGATTAAAACAATAATAATTGGATATTATTTTCTAATAAGAGGTAACAACTATCATAAAAGTAAGAAGAAAATTCTCATTCCCCGTCATTTTTGACGGGCTATCTTCTAGTAATATAATATTAATGAAAATATTATATAAAATAAATTACTCGAAGTTTGGTAATTGGAACTATGGTCAAGATTTTTTTGCATATTTTCTTTTAGGCAAATGATATCTGAGTATTCAGATTTACTGTTTATATATGTGTTTCTATTTCACTGAGAAATAATAATCCTAAATTTATTGTTGATTCTTTTTGGAAGGAAAAAAATTCCACCGACTCTCTGAATGGATTTAATAATGTATAAAGTTTGTCAATTATATTTATTCGGCATTGAAAAGCTTAACGGTTGTTTTCCTATTTTTTAAAACATTGAAATCTTGAACACTAAGGATGTTTCCTTATTTCAAATTCCAAATCGGACTCGATATCTGAGACTGAAATCTCTAATTTTTTTAATCAGAATATTAATTCTGGCAACTTTTTTATGCCATCAACGTAACTTAATTATGAAATTCATGTCCTAAGTATAAATGATGCTAATAATATCCCAATCTGACGTTTCTTTTGATGTTAGCCCTAACATCAGTTACCATCTGTATTATTTGGTTTTTAAGTGTAATTCCTCTTCTATACTATCGATCTCAGATAATATGATTTCAACAGTATGATTTTGTGTCACGTTTATAGTTGCCAGGGTAAAATATTTTAAATCAATATTTTCATTTAAATCACGAAGACTGAACCGTGATATAATTTCGGCGCTTGAAATGATCTGTCCATAAATCAAAATTAATAAAACAGAATTTTGATACAGAATCAATCAGATTTAAAAGATGCGCCTTAATAGATGAATAAACATCATCTAGTGCACATCGTCTAATGTTGCCCTCTCAGGCTATTCTGACGAGGAACCAAATATCATATTTCTATTTTAAATTTCAAACCGTTAGAAAATCAGCTATTCCTTTATGTTTATAGAATCAAATGGCATTAAATCTAAGATCACATCAAAACAAATATTGCCCTATTCGATTTTATATCTATACACTAAAGAATATTTAAAAAGCATCAAAATAAGAGCTGAAATGAAGAAAATTTTTGAATACTCAAAAAAATCAATTAAAGCTGGCAACAAACATACTAGTGTGTTTAATTAAAACGTGTAATTCCATAAAAAATTTAATATGTATTAATGTTTGTGTAATTTTGAAATATGATGTATGAATATGAATGAATGTTAATGATATACACTATTTTATTATATGCCAATAGAATACAATTCATAATTTAATTTTATTAATCTTAGTATTTGCATTTAAATAATAACTTAATATATAAATATAATTAAATAGTAATCTAAAAATTATGCAAGCCGCGCCACCGTCATAAAAAAATTGGCAGCAAGCTTAGCCGTTCATCTCAATCGGCGGCTTTTCGGGCGTAAATAAAACGCCAAAGGTGCCAGCGTGAGCCGGCGGCGCACAGGTCTAGTAATACGTCAATATATTAATATTTCTTTCCATTCACTTTATTGTTTATTTAATTGACATTTTTATATGAAAATTTAATTTATAACCTGTAAAATTGAATCACAGTACCTAACCAAGTATGGGCAAAAGCTTTTTCTGAAGAGAAATGCCGTGCGTTTTCCCCTCGTTTTAGCGCGAAAAAAGATGAGGGCAGGAAGGTATTGGGAAAAGAAAGCCACATTGTGAAAGAAAAATATCCGTCTACCCAAAAGATATCCATTCCTTAGGTGTAAATGATAACGCTTTAACTCCTAAAAAAATATGTTATATGTTAGTCACATATTTATTTATATTAAGTTTTGAAAAAAAATAAAGATATTGCCATAATATTAGTGATGTTAAAAGTTACTTTTGAAACATAACTAGTTACAGTTACTAGTTACATTGGCAAAGACATAACTAGTTACAGTTACTAGTTACATTTTTACAAAAGTAACTAGTTATTAGTTACAGTTATTTCCAAAAGTAACTAGTTACTTACTTTATACATCATTCATATGCGCATCATTTATTTATTGAATGCATTTATTTAATATAAAAAAAATTAGGATAAACAAAGTATAATCAGTTATTTAAAATAATATACAATTTATTTATATAAAAAAATATCTTTAAATGAATATTTACATTGAATATAAAAATATATATTTGCATTGAAAAAAAAACATTTATTTTTCATAAAAATTAGAATCTAATAATGTTTATTTGCTTTTAACAACAAATTAATTTCAAAGTTATTATCCAGGAGACGTGCTCGTTTATCTCCAAAAATGAGCTTACCTAGACTGAACAAGCGCTCTACGGGAGCACTTGATGTTAGAACAACATTATATTTAATAAAAAGTAATTTTAACTTTGGAAAATCGTTATATAAAGAAAAAGTGTTGTTATTAGATTTGATAAAGTTTTCTATAAGTTCATTAACCAGAATATTTTGGCGCTTTAGGTCAAAAAATCCAACTAGATCAAGTGATGTTGGTTTTGAGCATGATTCATTCGTCTGGGATTCACTTTGAGGTATTAAGGTATTTATTAAATTTAAAATTTCCTCCTTTTTTGCTTTATTCCTTTCTTTCCTAATCCAAGGCCAGTCAGTTTTAAATAAAGGGTGAAGAATTGTAGCAATGATGTTTTCATTATCATAAAGATTATTAAACCTATAACATGATATTTTTGTTAGACTTGGTTCTTGTATGTAATGATTAATAATTTAATATTAAATTCTAAAATAACCTGTCTTTGTTTTTCCTTATACTAAATTAAAAAATTATTTATTACGTATGATATGAAGTTCCAATGCTTGTTACTTGACGGAAAAAAATATATTGTGCTACATTTGTAAATAAATATAATATTAAAATTTATTAAATTACTTGAATTTGCTTACAAAATTATGAAGCCCAGCAGCAATGTAACAATTTAAGAAAAGAAAATCAATTAGAACGGGAAATCATAACAATCAGACATTTTCACAAAATTTTAAATTAATAAATTTAATTTAAAATTAATTTATCACAACATATTAAAAATAAAATTAATTATTTGAATATATCTTTAAAAGTAACTAGTTACTTTTGGCAGTTACATTTAAAAAATTATAACTAGTTACAGTTACTAGTTACAATTTTAAAAATATAACTTCTTCTTCTTCTTCTTCTCCGTTTTATGGCGATTTCCAGGTTTACCCGGGTAGGCCAGTTTTCCCTCTGATTTTTCTTTTCCATTTTTGACGGTCCTGAGCATCAATACTTGTAAGATTCAAGCTTCTCATATCCGCCGCTATCACATTTGTCCACGTCATCTTGGGTCTTCCTCTAGGTCTTGATCCTCCTACTTCCATCATTGTGCATCTCTTTACCCAGTCATCTCTTGTCATACGTTCCACATGCCCAAACCATCTTAGTCTATTTCATCGTATTACCATACCAATCATTTCTATACCTAATCTTGCTCGCAATTCCTTGCTAGTTTTTCTCTCTCTCAGAGATACCCCACACATACATCTAACCATCCTCATCTCTGTTCTTTCTAATTTGGTTTCGTGAATTGCTTTCATTGCCCATGTTTCACCGCCATAAACTAAACAACTCCTCACACAGCTTACGTAAACTTTCCCCTTTAACTTCAGAGAAACTTTTTTATTTGTAAGAATAGACGACATTTCTCTGAACTTCTTCCAAGCTTGTCTGATCCTTGCAACAACAGCAGAATCTACACCACCATCTGCGTTTAGCATATCACCTAAATAACAAAACTTATCCACTTTTTCTAGGGTTAACCCATTGCCAATATCCAGACCACCATTTTTTAGGTTATCATTATTATGTATCCCTTTCATGCATGTTTTACAAATAAAGGTCATTCTTTCTAACATCAAACTGCCTTTTTTCCCACTACTTCTTTTATGTACCCATTTCTGGCATCTGGTGCATTGGATAGAATTTCTAGCAACTCCTTTCCCACATACACCACAAGGCCACCTACCTGATTCTTCTATCTTTAGATTTTCCCCACCAATCATCACCTTTGTTTTTGATGCATTCATTTTCAGGCCCTTTGCTTCCATAGTCATCTTCCATTTACTAACTTTATCCCTCAATTCTCCCTCACTGTTTGCCATTAATACAAGGTCATCTGCATATAATATCTCCCAGGGAAGTCCTTCACGCATTTCTCTAGCCACCACATCCATTACTAAGATAAATAATAATGGACTCAGCACGGATCCTTGATGAAGTCCTACCTTCACCTCAAAGCTGTCACTATCACCATAATCCGTCCGTACTGCTGTTTGTGCTCCAACATACATTGCCATCACTGCGGTAACTAACCATTCCTCCACACCGGATTTTCTCAAGGCCCATCTTGTAATCTCACGCGGCACCCTATCAAATGCTTTCTCCAAATCAACAAACGCATAATAGAGTTTCTTTTCCTTCGCAAGATACTTCTCCTGAATTTGTCTCACCACAAAAATTGCATCTGAACTAGTTACAGTTATTGTTTAGCCAAAATGTAAATAGTTACCATAGTTACCTTAACATCACTACATAATATATATTGTATATTTATTATAAAAATCAACTAAAACATGTAACTATCAGAAATTCATTTCAATAATGTATTATGTCGTATTAAAAAATAATTTTAAACACAGGAAATTCCAATAACTGATTTACTTCGAATAAAGTATTCTTACTAGAATAAGTCAATTAACTGTTGACAGTCTATCGAGATTATATCACATTATTCGATGAGTTTTCTGCATATCTGCCTTTGCACCAAACGATCTTCTTTACAGGGGCGACATGGCAAAAATATTTTACTATATTAAAATACATGTCAATTTTTTGTTTAAAAAAAATTTACACATTTACTGGTTTTAGCTTATCATTTTGACTCATTTAGCAACTCTTTGAACTTTATAAACGACAAATTACATTATCCTAATTTATCTAAAAATAAAACAATTGCTGAATAATCTACCTCCTAATTGAAGCGCAAATAATATAAAAATGGATGGAAGAATAAAATTCTTTCAACTCCAAATTGAAAGCCTGCAAAATATCTCAATCAAAAAACTTGATATTGTTAAAATAATTCTTGCAGTGATAATGTTAGTAGGCTATTACCAGGAAAAAAAAGATTGCGTATCTATCAACGAAAGTGGAAAGGTTTTTCAAAATTTGCTAGCTTAACACAAAAATTAAGCAGGGGGTAGCGGAACATAGTGTATGCGTTTGTAGCAATTACCAGAATTTTACACTTATAACTATAGGATGTGAATTAGCATCATTGACTAAAAATGATCAGTATATATTAACAATTTATATTAATATTATAGACAGAAAAATTTGCAATCCTCGGTTACCCACCTGTTTTTTGGTAACTGCAGCGAGTGTCCTGATTCTGCACTCTAAAATATCAAAAAAAAATTTATACAAAATGATACCGCTAGTTACGTTTAAACAGTAGGCCTCGGTATATAGAACACTGGAGATTATATCTCAATCAGACGAATTTATTTAAAAAAATTTCAATAAAACGAATATTCTTATACGCCATTCATTTATTTCTGAATAGCAAGGTTCATTACACAATTACATTAAAAAATAGTTTAGCATTGGACAACTAGGTTACATCCATTCTCAATTTATAAAGTAAGAGATCAAATAAACAACCTATGTTTTGTGGTAATCTGGCTTAATTCACAATACTGCTTCATTTCATTTATTCCAATCGCATTTGATTCATTTTAAAAAAAATTCGACATTCCACCAGAAAAAAAATCATTACATTTATGATGGTTCAGCAACGCAATACAAAAATAGGAAATCAATGTTTGTTACATAAAATCGATTTTGGAATTCGACAGAATGACATTTTATAGTAAAAGTGCTTGCGATGTCATAGGCAGCACAGTAAAATGGTTAATTACCAAGGCAAGAGCACAAACCTCATTCAGATCAAATAATTACACCTTTAAAATTGTCATATATATGCCCGGATATAAAAGGTATAAATTTTTCTTGTGCCACCCTACCAGCATATGAGGCAGAAGAGATAAATTTAAGTAAAAGATTTAGTAAATCTATGTATACCTGGGATAAAAAATTTACGCAGTGTTTCCGATCGGTTTAACTAAGGTACTAAAATGTAATCTAATTCGTAGAAATTTATTATAGAAAATATAGTAAATCCATGTAAGGATCTGTTAATCGATGAAATTAGAGGATATGTGACCTGTATGTTTTCTTCCTCCTAAAGGACAAATCATATTGTTTATCCAGTGACACCAGATCTTTTTTTCATAACAACAAATAATAATTTAACAATAGTGTGCCCATCAACAGCGACTGTCGCAAAACGAAATAATCAAGGCATCAAAAAAACGTTAATAATAACCCGAAAATGTACATTTTCTTTCATGAATTTTACAAAATTAAAATATTTTATAAAAAATGATTATAACCGCAGCTAAATACTCTCATTTCATGATATTAATGCTAGATCTTTATGTTTAAAAAAGAAAAAAATACGTTATTTTATATAGGCGCCATCTATTTTTGAAATAAATATTATTAATTTTTTTTAAATAGCAATAATAAAAAACCCTTTAAAAATTTTTTTGCATATAATGTGAATAAATTTCTAAATTCCAAAAAATTCTTTAAAGCGAAACACCTCGAACTTTCAGATTCATAATTTATAGCGTAAAAAAACCGCAACATTATTATTTTAAAATTTTTTAAATATATTTACTAAAAGGCCTTAATTGAGTTACAAATTACATATAATTTTTATTTTTAATAATTTTTTTTAGCTTTTCTCAATTTTAGAAAATAGTATTTTTCCAAAAAGGGTTATTTTTGACACTTTCGACCATTGATATCTCTATGAGTACATAAGGCTAAGATTTTGGAGTTGATGTCTTCTAATTATATTCTCTCAGTATGAAAAATTTTATCGAAATTATTAAGGTCGAGCCAAATACCGATTTGGTATGGAATTACCCTAAGACAGTCTTAAATATTAATAAAAGATAGGTCCGAACCGTGTTCCTGACTGGTAAAAATTAAAAATTAGATCCGGACCAGGGTCCTTGAAAAAAGGCAGGCCAGTTCCGATCTAAGATCGACAGGACCGAACCGCTGACCTTCATTTCGTAAATCAAGGTTTCCATTATTACTTAGAGGCAAAATATTCGCTAGTTTAAGGGGTGCCGAATATTTCTCAAAATAGAACTTTGATAATGACTTGAAAAGACAAGAAACTGTTAAATATAAAACAGGGATTGTTAAATTTTAAACGTTTGTCGTACTATAAGTTGAATGTATTAGGACTTATTTTTCAAAGAGCAATTAATTCCATTTTTTAGGGAATGGATGAAATTCTTTAACATATAAATGATTTCCTAATTAGTGAGAAGTTGATGGAGGAGCACAATAAAAGGTGGTAGAGGTAATACTAAGTATAAGTCGGAGTTTATGGACATGGGGGATATTTATTTGAAGCCGCGAAGATCGTTTATATATATTATTGTAGAAGGGAGTCACGCCGTTAAATAAAAATTTAAATTATAAAGAATATGCCCCTCCGAAAGACTTAAAGGAGTTGCAGGTATTTATGGGGATGATAAAAATTTTATCATGGTTTATCGAGTTTTTTTGCGGAAATAACAGCTCCATTATATGATTTACTGAGAAATAATATAGTATTTAAATGGTGGGAGAAACATGGGGATGCTGAATTAGGATAACATTTGCAGGGAAGCGATATTATTCTTTTTTGATAATACCTTGGAAGTGGTTTATAGGTAGATGTTTCAGCTTTGTTGCAAAATTTGGTTGAAGTGAAAAGACCAATTTTATTTTTTTCGTGAATATTTCGACCGTCGGGAGAAAATTACTTGGTTATTAAGGAGTCTTTAGTGATTATATTTAGACTCACGAAAAGCTAAAAATTTATAATAGGGTGCAGGTTAATTATTCATATTAATCAAAAGCAGCGATAACAAGGAACTCAAGTTGTCGTCCAGATCAGAGGTGGCTGTTATTGGTCGGAAATTTTAATGTGGAAGTACTCAATAGACTGGGAGTTAGCTTACCAGAAGTGCTATCTTGACTGTGTTTCGTGTGTTTCGAACACAAAGTAGATTACAAGAATAAGGAAGAAGAAGATTAAACAATAAATTATTTATAAAATTGAAAAAAATATAATAAATTATTAAGAATAAAATATGTTTGTTATAAAAGTGTTATATGTCGTTTAGTTTCAATAAATAAAATAAAATATTTTTATTTTACATAAAAAATTCAATGGAAAATTGATAAATTTAAATATATATTTAAAAAAATTTCCAAGGCTCGGCCCGACCCGACCCGAATTTTTTAATATAATAGGCCCGGCCCAGCCCGAATCCGATTATTTTAAAAGGCCCGAGTCGTTCGGACCGGGCCGGACTCGGGCATAACTTTGCAGATCTCTAATGAAAATAACAAAAAATGTCAAATTTGAAATATTTCGTGAGGTGAGGGGGGGGGGGGTCGTAGTTAGGGCGTTATAGCTAAAAAAAAGTAGATTAAGTCATTTAAAAAGGATTTAGCATAAGCCAAGTATGTTATCATTTATTTGGTGAATAGATGAAAATAATATTTAAATCATAATATAATACAAACTTAAAAACCTGAAAATTATTATCCTGCTGATTTTCAACTCTTTCAATCTTTTCCAAAATTTTAATTTTTTTTAGCTGATATGAGCATAAGGAGAGTAATTTGTCATATATGGCCAGTACTCGCTTGATTAAAACGCTATCTTGTGCACCGTAGTTTAAGCATTTAAAGCTCTTAAAATCTTTACTTTTCCTACCGGTCATAACTCCATCGGTTTTTTTGCTGGGTTTAATAGCGTCATCTACATTGCGAATCATTATGGAAGATAATTTTCTTGTGTTTAAGGAATGGGGCTCGTGATGAAATATTTCCTGAGAAAACAACATAAAGAAAGAAATCTATAAACAATTATGTTTCAATGCCCAAAATAAGAAAAAAGATGTTTGATCTATCGAAAAAAAACAATCTCAATTTTCGATTAAAATTTCAAACCATTATTTTATATAACTTTTATAAGTGCTTGTTCCAGGTCGTAACACTGTTTCAAGAATTGGGGAAAGGTTTCACAATTCTCCGTATGAATGATAGCTTGCGAGGGTTCGGTCGATAATATATTATTGATATGAACACCATTTTGCTTCATTTCTTCTTTTAGCGAGCCAATTAATGCCTTTTCAATTTTTTTTAAAGTATAAATATTTTGATAGAAATTTTTAATATTTTAAACTAAACACTGAAATAACTATTTTTGAACTAAGCAATAATTGTGGCATGATGTAAGAGCTCAAAAAGTGTTAGAAATGAGGTATGAAAGTACAAAAAGAATATAAATATCAAAAATAAAATATATTACCTTGATCTTAGTTTCAAACATGTCTTTATCGACTGTAACATTGGCAATATTATCCGAGTCTGCATTAGTTTCCATTTTTCCCTCGGTCTATTCAAAATAAAATTAACTTCCAGGTGCAACATTAAAAATTTGAAAGATTAAATGATATAACTTTTTGACTGATAGAGATATAAGATATCCACAAAGCCAGATCCACTGGCATAAAATTTTAAATAAATTACCTACATAAAAAAATTTCGGGCGGAGCGATCTTAGATAAAAAATATCGGGCCAAGCATTTAGATAATAAAATATCGGGCGGGTATGGCCGGGTTTTCATAATATTCTTTAACTAAATAAGATTTCTTTATAATTAAAAAAAGTTAGTAAAATAAAAATAAATATATCTAAAAAGTTAAAAATTATTTTTATACAATATTATGGAGCCAGTTATATTTCCGATTTTTCTTAATATATCCAAAAGCACTTTTATTCATTTCTTATAAAATAAATGAAATTGTTAAATAAATAAAAAAAAATGATGCAGATAAATCGGATATTAATATTTTATATCTGAAACCTGTACAGATACCATTTGCACAGCCGCACCCTGATTTTTCTTTCAAAAAATATTTTAGGCCCGGCCCAGGTTTTATATTTTCAGGTCCGGCCAAGTTTTTTTGAATATATTATATTTATTTAAAATTTTATAGCTAATAATGGCAATTTAAAATATTTTTTTTAGGTTGTTTTTTTAAAAAATTCAGGCCCGGCCCGGGTATATTAAAAAAAATAAAACACGGTTTTATCCAAAAAAAAAAAGTTAAAACGTTATTACTTAGAGTTCTTTTGATATTTTTTCTAGATCTTTTAGTAGTTTAATGTCCAAAATTAATTTTAATTTCATTCAAGGTTTGTGATTTATAACTGTCTTTTGGTGATTGTGCTATTTCATATAGATTTTTTCTTATGATATTATCATTTAAATTTTAAGGTAATATATCTTGTTAAATTTTATGTACGAATTTTCGGGCCCCCACATTTTTAAAATGACTAATATTTTAATGTTTCATATCTTTTCCAATTGTTCAAGAAAGCGTTTTTAAAATTAACATGGATTTCGGACAGATTTTTTATAAAAATTTCGGGCTGAACCGGACAAAAAAATTAGGCAGGGTAACTTATGCAAAAATGATTCATATTAATGATACCAAAAAATCTATTATTATATTTTTCGCAGTAATCACACTTTTGTTATATAATATTCATACTAATTTAAAGTAAACATGTAAAAACGGATTAAGCATATATTTGTAAATTCATTGATAATAGGGGAAACCGGGGCACGTAGCAGGGTAACGTTAGTCCAGACCAATTATAATTTAAACTATTAATTTATATGGCTGGAAATTATGAATGATCGGCAAACATGATTTGAAAATATTATAATTTTTAAAGAGAAAAATGTGTTTTAATATACCAAAAGAAACAAAATATAATTTGAAACTTTATGTTTAAATTTATAAGCTTTTAGAATCTTAACAAACGAATTAAGCTAATAACCCCAATTTTTTAATCTGACAATTTTTCTGGATCATAAAACATGAATTAATATGATTCTGAATAATACTTATAAAGTTAGCGGGATATGTTTGTTGTAATATTTTAAATTATTATTTATAGTTGTATTGAATGAGAAAAATTAATTATATTATTATATATATATATATATTACGAACCTGTTGTTAGGCATGTATTTTGTTTATTTTTGTGGAAAAAGAAAAATACAGTGGCAACAAAGAAAAGGGATTATCATTAATTTGTTTTTGTTTAAAAAGAAGAAAATTTTATGATTTGTAAATTATTGAATAGACAAGGAAAATATATAATCAATAAATATTCTTAAAGAAAGAGACAAAGAAAATATTTAATTAATAAAGAAACCAAGAAAATATATAATTAATAGAGATTCTTAAATTAGAGAAGAGACAAAGAAAATATTTAATTAATAAAGGTAAAGATACTTTCATTTTAATTTACGTTCATTTTAATTTACTTTCAATTTAATTTACTTTCAATTTAATTTACTTTCAATTTAATTTACTTTCTTTTAATTTACATTCATTTTAATTTACGTTCATTTTAATGTACTTTCATTTTAATGGTGCCGTGTAGTTAATTTTTACATAGGGGTTTATGTGGACACAAACATATTTTTTTTAGGATAACATAAAATCTTATTCAATTAGAATTAATTTTTAGATTTTAAAGGTAATATATTAAATAATATATTTAAGGTGAAAGACGTTAAGAATTTAAGGAAAAAATTATAAGTTTATTTTAAAAGAAATAAGGTTTAAGATTTAAGTTATATAAATGAAAATATGTTATTTTTCTATAATCATAACAATAAGCCTGCTTATATTTATAGCGTGTCGGATGTTAAGAGTATACTTATTGAAATATTTAATAAATTTATTAATAGGTATGATTTAATTAATAATTTTATATTTATTGTTTTGATAATAATATATTTTATTATATTAATAATTAAGGAGATTAATAAGAAGGGAAGTAAATGGGAATTTTCAGAAGTAAAAGCAGAGAAAGGAAAATCAGATATATCAGATAAAATAAATAATTCTTTAAGTATTAAGACACAAGATAATGAAAATTACATTTAGTATTACAAGAGATATAAAATAAAAATAGAAATAATATAATTGAGGAAACTGATAAGATAATTAATCCGATAATAGCAGAAAATAATTTAACATTTAAGGAAGTAGAAATATCGGGTCAAAATATTTTACATTTAATTCTATTGCAAAATGATAAATTACATATGAGACACATTTTCGGACAATGGAAAATGTAATCATATAGATAAATCTTTAGAGAAGAAGATAGGGTCAGGGGAGATTATAAATCGAGGTAACAACGAGTATTTTACAATTAATTTTAAGGGAATTACGTGATAATAAGACAATTATGCAGGAGAAAGGTATAAAGGAGGTAAATAATAGGACACTCGATACAGGAGATAGCATACAGGATATTAATTTTACATCAAATACTTTAAATATAATTGTAAAAGAATTAAAGACACAAAGGGACTTAATAAAGGATATGTCGGGTGATTTAAATAAGTTAATAAATAATTGTAGAATATGTGATCGTAGGGGTCATAAGGAACAAGATTGTTTTTATAATAAGAATAAACTATTGGAGGGTATGAAATGTAATAAGTGTGGTTATAAGGGACATACCGAGAATAAATGTAATGTTAATGGAAAAAATTTTTGTGAGGGTTTTCCAATTAGAAATGCCAAAAATTTTAAATCTGCAATTTGTAATATAAGGGAAATAGACAATACATTAAATGAGAATTTAAACAAGATTAATGAGTTTAAGGAACGTCGTTGTTTTAAGTGCAAGGAAGAAGGACATTTAGCCATTAATTGCCGTAATTGACTATATGAATCTAAGAAATATAGGGAGGTCGAGAGACCAAATAATCATATTTAATAATAAATTTTATATGTTTTATAATAAATTGAATATTTATAATAGTAGAGGGTATTATGTTTATGATAAATGTAAAGCAGTTAGGGAATATGGGATAGATCAAGCGATATACACGAGGGTAAATTATAGACACAATACGTACAAGTATAACGGAGGTATCAAGATGGTAAATTCAAACAGAATTAAATTAAATAAAAATTTGATTAAAAATATAGATAGAAAAGAAGATTTTTTTAAATGGGAAAAATATAAAAGACCAAACAATAATAATAATAATATGTTAATAATGAGGGGCAATAAGGAACAATTTTCAGGTCCTCGGGTTAATATTAAAATATATAATAGGACATTGAGATGTTGTTCGAACGGGAGCCGTGATTTCCATCATGCCTTATAAAAGATATCGTGAAATCTGGTCTCAAAGAATCCTCGAAAAGGGGAATATATACGTCAAACAATTAGATGGAACTGAGATCAGGTTTTGGGTAAATCCAGGGTTAGAGTAATAGTGGGTAATAGAAAAATATGTCTTAATTTATGGGTGGTTGAGAAGGAGGTTGAGACTATAATGGGTTGGGACTGGATCAATAAGATAGGTTCACAATACAATTATTGGAATATTTTTACAGAAAGGGATAACATTTGTACTATAAAGGATAATGAAGTAAATAATGAATTCAATACAAATAATATAGGGAATAAGGTAAGAGAATTAGGGTGGTCCAAATTAAGTAATAAGGATTCGAAATTTTTCAATAATCAAGACTTTTATAGGTCTCCGGTTGAGATAAAATCAAAGAATAATGTTTCAGGGCGGAATAGTCCTGAAATGGATATACAAGATAATGAAAATATATTACATGATAATGGTATAGGAGATAAGGGTAATATACAGGATAATATTAAGACAACATTTGATCAAATATCAATAATTGAGCCAGAAGATTATGAATTAAATAAGGTTCATGAAGCCATAGATTTATTAATTAAAAAATATGAAATAATATTTGAGGACACTTTAGGATGTCTTAAGGACCACCAAGTGGACGTTAAACTCAAGTAAGGTGTTATGCCTATTTTTTAGGATGCCGCCGAGTACCTTTTGAATGGGGAAAGGAAGTTGAAATCGAATTAGACCGATGGTTAAAGGATGGTATAATTGTTCCCATTGATTATAGTGAGTGGGCCACGCCTTTGGTTCCGATCAGAAAATCGAATGGAAAGTTAAGGCTTTGCGCCGACTTTCGGGTCACTCTCAATCCGTGGGTTGGAGGTTAAATATCCATTACCTCGAATTGAGGAAATTTTAGCTAATTTAAAGGGAAGTAAATATATCTCTAAAATTGATTTTTCCACAGCATATTTACAATTACCTCTTAGGGAAGATATACGTAAATTATTTACAATTACCATATCTAAGGGTTTATTTGCGTTTTGTCGATTGCCTTTTGGTCTCAGCGTATCAGCTCCAATATTTCAACGCACAATGGCATCCGTTTTTCAAGGTTAGAAGGGTTTTTTTATTATATGGATGATGTATTGATTACGGGTGTAACACCAGAACAACATAATCAGAGGTT